TTTTTTTTTTTTTTACGGATTTTTTTTTTTGACAGATGCCCTTTATGGCTTTATTTGAATTTCATTTAGGGGGTGTTTTGTTAATCAATTCTCATTTTTAATCATACATTATTTTAATAAAATAATTTTTCATATAAACTCAATTTTTTCCCTGCTTTTTAGTCACATTTTTCAAAAATGAATATTAAAAAATTTGTTTAAAAAAAAAAAAACGAGGCTCAAATATATAGCCTATGCGTACACCTTTTTATTTTTTATTTGTTACCTCTTCAAAATAACCGTGTTGGTTTTGAGTGTTATCATATTAAGGGGGTGTTTGACACCCATTTCTGTGGAAAAATGTGTTTTTGAATAGTGATTGATGGAAGAATGTGTGATTAAAAAGTAAGGAGAATTTTTAAATTTATGTGTAATATTATTTTATTGATAGAATGTGTGGTTGAAATGAAGAAAGAGAAAAAGAATAAGAATGAGAAAAAATTAGTGCCAAACGGGGGCTAAGTCCATGTTTAGAGTTGAGATTTGCTGTCCATAACTACACATTTTTTAATCACACATTTCATCAACCGTTATCAAAATTAACTTAAAAATTGATTTTAATCTCTACCAAACAAGGGCTAAATATATCACCACCCTAGTTTTTTTATAACCCTAATACATTTTTAATTGTATGTACGATTCCCGACCTTTACACATTACTACATTTATGTCCAATTTTTTTTTCATTCATTCTTGTTCTCAAATTAATATAAATTATTCATGATTATGGTTTCTCCCTAACTTTTTTTTTATAGAGTAAAAAATTATTTGTCCATTGTATTTTCTAATAGGCAAAACAAACAATACTGCCAAAACGTGATTAAATATTAATCCTCATTTTAAAGTACGTTAAAAATATTTTTGGATGAAAATCATGATTAATGACAACATTTTTCTGATCAATAGAATGTTAAAAATAAAAATGCAATAAGAAAAAATTTAAGCATACAAGTGTGATAATAAATAAAGGTCAATTATCTTTAATGTAATTAAAATATGGTGTATTTATAAAAAAAATATAGTATGCATATAATCATTATTTTTCAAACCCATTTTTAATTATATATTTTTTGGTAAAATAATATTACACGTAAATTAATTTTTTTTTCTTATTTTTAACTCTACATCATCTAAAAAATCATTATTTCAAAATACATTTATCTACAAACTCTCATTTCGATGGAGCGGTTAAATTTTAGGGAAAATTGCACACACGGTATCAAATCTTTCACTTTTTTGCAGACTTTGCACAAACCTTTATTTTGTACCAGCCACGGTACCAAACCTTTAAAGAACTCGCATCAGAGGTCCGAATGGATGGAAACCGTGAGTTTGACTTCAAAAAATTATTTTGACCAAATAAAAAAAAGCAAAATGGTAACTACATAATTTTAACATAAAAAAGGAAAATAAAAAAGTGGAACACTATTCACCTTCTTTACAAACCAACCCCACCCCACTCTACTAAACGCCATTGGCCGCTGTTGCCGCCACCACTTTCCTCCACCAACAGTGGAATCACCTCCCAACAATCTCAGTTTTTGTCTGCAACAGTCAGTTTGCATCATAATAATCAATTGGGGCAACGATTTTGCACGATATACATGTAATTAAATGGGCAAGAAAGATTACTGCGTACATTGAGGAAGGAATTGCATATTTCTCTGAAAGAGAGAGCCAATTGGAAGCCTCTCAAGCGGAGAAGCCCGAACTTCATGCTTTTGGATGTTGTAGTGGTATATACACGAATAAGTGTAATAAAATCCCCAAAACGAAGGATATTGTGAAGTGCCCATTGGAGTACGGTTCTTGCCACATCCACACATTCGACAACCACCACTATTTTCCAAGCATCCATTCCCCCTCCGCCCCACCTCTCGCTTTATAATCCTCTGAAATCCCAATCTCCACTCTCTCACTTGTACAAAAGGTTTTGGGAATTTTGTTGGTGTTATCTTTCTAAGTTTTCTAAATCGTAGCTCTAAACAAAAGTAGATTTTAGCTTTACTCTCGATTTCTGATCCGCATTGTTATGCTTTTAGGTGTTATTTTAAGAATTCAGCTGGATCTGTGTTTATTTTTCGCTTATAGTTATAATTTGAGGTTCGGATTCGCATTTGAAACATTAAATTTCAAGGGATTTTAATCTTAAAATTTGGGCTCCATTTGATTCGTGAGGACTGCAGCTTCTAAGACCGTAGTCTTGGGAGGTGATTCCACCGTTGGTGGCGGAAAGTGGTGGTCGGTACTGGTGGCCACTAGCATTTGGTGGGGTGGGGTGGCGTGGGGTGGGTGAATAGTGTTGTCTTTTTTTATTTTCCTCTTTTTATGTTAAAATTATGTAGTTACCATTTTTTCTTTTGTTGATTTGATCAAAATAATTTTTTGAAGTCCACTAACAGTTAAATTCACAGTTTCCATCCATTCAGACCTCCGGTGTGAGTTTTTTAAAGGTTTGATACCGTGGCTGACACAAAACAAAAGTTTGGGCAAAGTTTACAAAAAAAATGAAAGGTTTGATACCGTGATTGCAATTTTCCCTAAATTTTATTGAAAAAATAAAAGAAAATATTGTATTCTCCACGAAAAAGTATTTCACCAAAATGAAAGGATTCCGTAAAAGCTTAGGGGGGTGGATTTTGTGTCATTTAGCACTTGTTTGCCCCCCATTATATCTCATTACATTACATTAAATTTTTTTTTCTCTTCATCTCAACCATACATTCATCAAATAAAATAATAATACACACAAATCAAAAACTTTTCAACCACACATCTCCCATCAATCACTATTCTAAAAATTATTTACCCCCCAAAAATTTAATTTAATGGGGGGCAAANCCCTTGTTTGCCCCCCATTATATCTCATTACATTACATTAAATTTTTCTCTCTCTTCATCTCAACCATACATTCATCAAATAAAATAATAATACACACAAATCTAAAACTTTTCAACCACACATCTCCCATCAATCACTATTTTAAAAATTTTCAACCCCCTGAAAATCTACAATAACGGGGGCAAACAGGGGCTGATTTACCCAGAAAAAAATATCGAAAAGATGATAGAGGAGAGGGACTAAGCGCCAGGGTTTTCTTTCTTCATTGGTATTACGCTAAAAATTGTGAGGAGAGGCAAAAAGGGAGTCTTATTCATCATCCCCCTTGGCACCAAAATATCTTGTGTAGCGGTGATTTCCATTCAATTTCTTCATCAGCAAATTTGGAAAGTAGGTATTTGTTAGTGAAAAAACGGGCTTTATATGTTGAAATCGTAATCTATCTGGTTGTTGTGAATGATTTAATTTCAACTCAACTCCTTATAATTTATTTATTTTTCTAGAATTGTTATTTTTTTATGGCAATCTTCCTCTAGCACAGTGATTACCCAGTTGGCACCAATTTATTGCAGTGATTTCTACTCAACTTC